CACATATTATTGAGCATTTTGTGGATTATCCGTATCCGCGTGCAAAAAGGTTGAGATGGCCCGACTAAGTGTTGATTTGACAAATATTTACAGTTAATTCTTGTTTGATTAAATTTATAGTTGAAATTATTTTAAACATATTTCTTAATTTTTAATAATTTAAAATTAATTTTATCAAAGCAAATTTTTCCTAACCTAAAATCAGTAGGGGTGGAAATAATTTGAGGGAAGTTAGATTTTGTAAGATTTGAATGGACTTAACTCTTGGATTTAATATTTGGTTCTGTTATATATACATGGCATAGGTAATTTTTTAAGGTCTAATTATTAGCTTTTTAAAAAGTTTGGTCTGACTTATAATTATTAGCACTTTCCATTCCATGAAGGCTTTCTCATTGTAAAAAAGGCCCGATAAAATTATTACTAATCATGTTGGCTTAGTGTATCCTATTAGCACTGCTGGTTTTAAAAGCAACTAGAAACCATTCAAATGAAAGAGAAAACGTTGCATAAGCAGAAGAGATTACAACCACTCCAATATCTAACTCTTCAAGAAGCAAAAATAGCAATGATGTATCTGTGAACAATAATAATTTTAGCAACATTTAGCATGTTTCAACACCATAAACAATTCCACAATTAGATTATGATACTAGTAATATCATTGAACCAATCATTACTACATAATCAAGAAATCAACGTCAAATAGTGACCAAAAGTAATTATGATATTTTCAAGCCAAAAAATACTATACGTAGGATTTACAAATAAAAAGATTGATAAGTAAAAATTAGAGAATATAGTGACCAAAAGTAATTATGATATTTTCAAGCCAAAAAATACCAAGATTTACAGATAAAAAGACTGATAAGTAAGAACAAGAGAATGCAAAGAGTGCTCTAGAGAGATAAAACTGGAAAATAGCTATGTTGACTAAATTTAATGCCATGCTGACCAATAAGATATGAACCTTAGTACCTTTTCAAGGAAAAAGAACATTATAAACTCCAAATAGGTGTTTAAAATAAAGTATAAGCCTAGTGGTGAATTAGGAAGAAAAACGGCAAGGTTGGTGGCTAAAGGGTTTCAACAAGCACCCGAACTTGATTTTGATGAAATGTTTAGTCCAATAGTCAAAGCAAGTATACTAAGGATCATTCTATCAATCGCAATACATTTCAATTGAAAAATTTGGCAATTAAATGTAAACAATACATTTTTAAATGGAGAACTTAAAGAAACTATTTTTATGAGGCAATCATAAAATTTTATAGATGCAGCAAGGCTGTTATGTGTGCAAGCTCACTAAAGTCATTTATAGCCTAAAACAAGCTCTAAGATCATAGTATGACAAGCTGAGAGTAGACATACTAAATTGGAGTTTCAAAAACACTAGAAGTGAATTGTCCTTATTTTTTCTCATGAGTAAGAATTATATACCTTCCTATTGGTTTATGTTGACCATATTATTATTCTTGGCAGTAATAGACATTTTTTGAGCTTAATTATACAACAACTAAATGTTGTGTTTGCATTGAAAGACCTTGGAAATTTATATTACTTTCTAGGAGTAGAAGTAAGCAGGGACGAAAGTGATATTTATTTGCAACAAATTATGTATATATTGGACCTCTTAAAAAAGTTTAATATGGAAAATGCCTCTTCTTTTCTAATACTCATGGTGATTGGGAAGGACATATCTGTAGAAGGAGATATAATAAGCAACCCAACCAAACAGACAATTGGCGCTTTGCAATATTTGACAAACACCAGACCAGACATTTCTTAATTTGTAAATTGTTTGAGTCAGTACATGCAAGCTTCAACAGCATTTCATTGGCAATGTATCAAGCGTATTCTTAGATATTTAAAAAGAATAATAGATTATGGGCTACATATAAAACTTTCCTCAGATCTTGATGTCTCAGGGTTATCAGATGCATATAGGTCAAAAATTTGGATGATAGAAAGTCTATAGTAGGCCACTGTGAGTTTATAGGGGAGAGCTTGGTGAGTGGGTCATCTAAAAAACAACAAGTAATATCTAGATCAAAAACTAAATTAAAGTACCGTGCACTTGTTAATCTTGTAGCAAAAGTGGCTTAGATTAAGTCTTTATTACAAGAAATCAGAATGTTTATACAAGAACATTAATTCTATGGTGTGACAATCTTAGAACAAAGCATCTAATCCAATTTATCACTTAAGAACTAAACAAGATATCCATTTCATAAAAGATCAAATATTAAGCAAAAAAGTTATTGTTGTCTATGTCCAAGTTCAGATCACAATAGATTGTTTTATTAAAGCATTGATTCACACACGTTTTAATTGAGACAAGTTAAGAGTCGTGAAGCATATCTCCAATTTCACATAATATTAGTAGAGTATAATGAAAAATAATCTTACTAATTATTACTGCTTATTTAATTTCTATATTTTTTTTCCTAAAGTCACTCTTACACGTTTTAATTGAGACAAGCTAAGAGTGGTGAAGCATATCTCCAATTTCACATCATATTAGTAGAGTATAATGAAAAGTAATCTTACTAATTATTACTGCTTATTTAATATCTATATTTTTTTTCCCTAAAATCACTCTTAATAATGTATTTAATCTTTCCTTTAAAATCACTCCTATATATAATTTCTTTCCTAGAATTACCCTATGTAATTATTTGTTGTTATTATACTGTATTAAAACTATTCTCTCTCAATTCTATTCTTTCTCAGTTTGGGTATGGTTTTCACAAGTTCATTGAGCTGCTTAAATTCTTCTTAAGCACTGCAGAACAAGTAAAAGAGTAACATAAGGTGTCTTGAAAGGCAAGACAACTTGAGATATTTTGAAATATTGGTTTTTCTACAAGAAAGCAATAAACAAGACAGCACTTTCAAACGTAAAAGCGTGATGGCTGTAAATCCTCCTGTTTGTGATATAAGATATTGACTTTTAAAAATTAAAATAACCGGGCCAAGCCGGCCAACCTACTTTATGAATTATGATGGCTATAAGCAGGTCAGATATGAAGCAAGCATTTTGTCAACCGTACTTTAACTACAAATTTGCAAGTATAAATAGCATTGTATTTATTCTCTATAAATTTAATTAAAATATATTAACAATATAAAATTTATACACTTAATTGTGAATTATTAAATAAATAAATAAATATTATTTTTATGATAATTATTTTTAAAAATATATATAAAGTAACTTCTAATCAATTAATTATGTTAAAATATTTTCGTTCACCGTATATAAAAATTAAATTATTTTATATATTATACTTGTCTTTCAAGCTTCAATAAATATTGGGTTCACTCGGTTACGTAACCAAAACTATTGGGTGAAAATAAAAAACACTAACTGATTTATTCGCTTACGTAAAGAAATGTGTTTTATAACAGAAATCAAAGTTTATTAATTTTACATGTCTCCAATCCAAAAAGAAATTAGTATGGAACACGCAAACTATCGGATGCTCTTATAGCAAGTTTATGGTAATTAAACGTGTTATCTTTTGCAGTACGATTTTTTGTTTTATTTCTTTATTACATTACCTATCTCTCATTACAGTTTTTTCTTATTACTATCTTATTTTGTATAACATATTATACAAAAATAAATTATAACTAGCATTTCTCAAATTATAAAATGAAAAATAGTTTTTTTCACTTTCTACACTCCTCCTTATACAGTAAAAAGGAAATTGGTCTCTTAACTCATTTCATAAAAGATAATGCAGGGAAATAAGTAAGGACTTTTTTACACATATATTTGTAACAAGATTTATAATATAAGAGAGATAAAATAAATAAATAAATAAAATACATAACATGATAAGGACATAAAGAAAAAGTAAATTATAAAAAAATGTGATAAAAATTATTATTTTTTAAAGGTAAGATTGTTGTTTGATAAGTTTTATTTTTTAAATAATATTTTTAATTTTGTAACATTTATCTTTCTATTTTATGTATTTATTTATTTAATATCACATTCAAAATAAAAATGTGAAGGCTTTCCTCGTTAAATATTTCATAAGAGCTATATTATTTTTATAATAATTTTTTAAAATAACACTTTTGTTATTTTGCACGGTGTCTCTCCATCATATTACATGTTTTATCAATTTTTTTTAAATTATATAATTTTATTATACAATCTCATTTCTTTGACTGATTTATTTTTTAATATTTTTTTTTTAAATTCTTAAAGTAATATTTTTTAAAAACATATTTTCTGTGGATCTTTCTTGCTATCTCAGCACCTATTTTGTTTATACTAAACATAAATTTTTTAAATCATATTTTGTTATCAGTAAAAATAAAACTATCAAATTGCACTACTGGTTATTATTTGGTGAATTTTGTTTACTTTATAGACAAAACTCTCAAAATTAACCAAATGCTATTATTAAGTGAGTTTCATTTGTTGTACAGATAAAACTCACATAATTGCATTACGTGTCAAAATCAATTCATGAAACTAGTTTAAAGAAAAAAAAATTATATTCTAATTATTTTTTTAAATCAATTTCATAAGTTGACCTAAACATAACATGTGACTTAGTTATATGAGTTTTATTTTTACAACATATAAAACTCATTAGATAATAACACATGGCACAATTTGATAATTTCCTCTCTATTAAGAATAAAATATGATTTAAAAAATAAAATAAAATAATATTTTGTCAAGACAACAGATAAAATAGATACTTTTAAAAAATATTATTTTATAAATTTATTTTTTAAAAAACATTGAAAAAATTAAATGAGCCTATTTCTCATCTCATCTTATTAAGATGTTCAAGCAATATGCCACGGTGGCCGGGCACCATCTCTGTCCTTGGAGTTATTGCACTGTGTGTGTGTATATATATATACACACACACTTTCTCGTTATAAACCCCACAAATAAATAACAACTAAGCATCTACACTGACCAAGTTAATATTTTAATTTGTTTTACATTGTGGAACGACAAATCGACAATGATTGAGATGCTCCTACAACTGTTACTACATTCCTTCCTCTTCGTTATCCTTCCCCTCTACCTCTTCTTCTTTTCTAGATCTACACCTTCTTCCGCTCCTAATTCATCTAACATTAACCTCCCAAGCGCATACCCACTCATTGGTTCCTACTTTGCTATCAAAGCCAACCAAAACCGCCAAACCCAATGGTTGGGCGATATTATCCAAATCTCACCCGCCGCCACCTTCACTCTTCACGGTCCATTAGGCCACAAACACATCATTACCGGCAACCCCGCCACCGTAGAGCATATTCTCAAGACCCGTTTCTCCGTTTACCAGAAGGGAACCACCTTCATTAACACCCTCTCCGATTTCCTTGGCACCGGAATATTCAACGCCGACGGCGAAACCTGGAAGTTTCAGAGGCAAATAGCCATCCACGAATTCACCTCCAAGTCACTACGCAAATTCGTGGAACACGTCATGGACGCCGAATTCTTCAACCGCCTCGTCCCCATCCTCGCTTCAGCGGCAACACAAAACAAAACTCTAGATCTTCAAGACATTCTTCAACGATTCATGTTCGACAACATCTGCAAAATCGCGTTTGGCGTCGACCCAGCATACCTAACACCGTCCATGGAACGGAGCAAATTCGCACAAGCCTTCGAAGAAGCATTGGAGATCAGCGGCAAGCGGTTCCATGAGCCATTACCCATAATATGGAAAATGAAGAGGCTACTGAACATAGGATCGGAAAAGCGACTCCGAAGGGCAGTTTCAGAAGTTCACGAATTCGCGAAGAAGATAGTGAGAGAGAAGAAGCGTGTACTGAAGGAGAAGGTTTCGCTTGAATCTGCAGACATGCTTTCGAGGTTCTTGATTTCGGGACACACCGACGATAATCTTGTGAAGGACGTTGTGATAAACTTTATACTCGCCGGCAAAGACTCAATATCGTTGGCGCTAACGTGGTTTTTCTGGTTACTGTGGAAGAACCCGCGCGTGGAGAACGAGGTTGTGAAGGAGATAAATGAGAAATCTGATGCTCTAGTGTACGATGAAGTGAAGGAGATGGTTTACACGCACGCAGCATTGTGTGAGACTATGAGGCTGTATCCTCCTGTGCCGATGGACACCAAGGAAGCACAAAACAATGACATTTTGCCGGATGGAACAGTAGTTAAAAAGGGGATGATGGTGACATATCACGTGTATGGGATGGGGAGAATGAAAAGTATTTGGGGTAGTGACTGGACAGAGTTTAAGCCTGAGAGGTGGTTGGAGAAGGTTGAATCAGGGAGGTGGAGATTTGTGTCAAGAGATTCGTATACTTATCCGGTGTTTAATGCGGGCCCTAGAATTTGTTTGGGAAAAGAAATGGCTTTTATGCAAATGAAAAGATTGGTGGGTGGAATTCTGAGGCGGTTCAAGGTGGTTCCGGTGAAAGAAGAGGTGGAACCCAACTTCGTTTCCTTCTTAACTTCCCAGGTGGAAGGTGGATTGCCCGTCAAGATGCTACAAAGGGTTCATTCAAATTAAAAACAATGCTATTTACTACACTTACTAGTTCACTCTTGCTCTTACTCTTCCACTTTTTGTGGTAAGTGTAATAATAATAATAATAATAATAATAATAATAATAATAATAATAAAAAGTAGCATTTGAATTAAAAGATAAAAAGAGACTCGTTAATAAAAAAAAAGTCTAACTATTCTTTTTAATAAAATATTGAATTTTATAATTATAAAATTCTTTCTCTTTCTGAACAAATAAAATAAGAACGGAGGTAATATCATTTATTCCAATTTTTAAATTTTTTAGGAGTGTCCCGGTGTTCGCAAGATTATGATATGTCTTGGTGGTCTTAATGATCAATCAAGTAATTCGTTGGTGCGCAGCAAAAGAGTCCAGCTACGAACATGCAGTTCAACATGCTCAAATCCCATTTGCAATTGACTAATTTCAACCCTTCCAAAATTCCCAAAAGTTCTGCAATATCCAAAATTTCTTGAGAAACCTTTATTCCAATGTCCTTCACATCCTCTTAAAAGCCCTCCGCAGCTAGCTACCATTTTATCTTGTTTACTAGCTCCATATCTGTATTGACACTGACCCAGAAAGTTGCTACTTATTCCAACTTACATACACTTGATTCCTTGCTTTTGCAATGCTGTCATGAGTTATAATATTCACTTGATCGAGCGCTAGCATTAAGAAGGTTGAAATGGCCTGACAATGTGCTCATCATAGATTTACTGATTACTGCAAAGGCATAACATATATATAACAGTACAACTAAGGCTACTATGTAACAATACAAATAATAATAATAATAATAATAATAATAATAACAACAACAACAATAATAATAATAAAAAAAATAATAATTTTTTTTCAATAAAATTAAATTTACCGTACACCTTAAATTAAATAAATTTTAAAGATATTTTCAGGACATTGTAAATATAAATACACTTTACAACCGTTATGCATATAACTGTTAACTAGAAGTTGTGAATTGGCTTGTTGAAATGTTGTAAATATACAGTTAGGTAGCATTCAGTGAAGAACATCTTTTTATTTTCAATTATTATTAACTTTTTGAGAATGATATTTTAGTAATAGGAGTTTTTAAGAAAATTTACAAAAATGTCCTCATTTATTACTTATTTATTAAAATAATTATATTTAACATTTATTACTATTCATGAAAAAGATTTATTTAGTATCATGAACAAATTTGATCCTCACTTATAAAAGTTTAAAATTATTCTTATTTTTTTTAAGGTTCTTCTTCCTTGTTTATAAATGTATACGATAGATATTTTAAAAAATATATTTCCATTCACTTCTATCAAATTTGAAAAAAAAATAAAATACTATCATATTATTTTTAAAAAAAATTAAAGCATTATTTGTATCAAATATTATTTTAATAGTTCTTTACCAAAAATTTATTGGGAAGGAACTTTAGGAGTATGTCTTAGTTATTTACTCCACTTAATTTTTTTAAAATATCAAATTTTATTAATTTAAAAATTAAATGATATAATATTATCTTCATAATACATGTTAAATATTAGATAAATGAAATATTTATAAGTGTCTAATTTTATAGTTAAGATTATTTTATATTTTAAAAAATATATATTATACATTTAAAAAGTTTGATAAAATATTAAATAATTTAAAATTTTTATATATTTTTATAAATTTCATTTACTTATTATAAATTTTAAATTAGTAATTAAATTAATAAAATTTAATGTTTATAAAAAATATTAAATAGTTTTAATTAATTGATTAATTAAAACTTAATCTGTACATCGTTTAAAAAATATGTTATCTTCTATAAAATTTTAATTATATGAGAGAAAAGTATTGAATTTTTGGGCTTCCTTTTTACGTAGAGAAAAGCTCAAAATATATTAACTCATTATGTCTCATTAAAATTAGTATAGATAGGTTAGATAGGATATAAGAATAGAGAGACTCTTTATAGTAAAATCATAAAGAAAGAAGAGAAAAAGAGAAGTCATTATTATTTTCTCACCTTACCGTATTGTTATTTTTTAAATTGTAGCAATAGATTTGTTCACCATAGAATCAGATTGATTTTTTTACAATAGGTTCATAACATGTGAATCTTTATTTTATTCGGTTGAATCATCAAGAAAACGTCTAGAGAAGGAGAAATAGATTTCACAATTTCGTGCTATATAATTAGGATTTTTTTTTCTTGTTAACAATCTTTAGTACTTTATTTGTTTTTACTATTTGTAAACACAATTTTTATACTCATTGAAGATTTTCTTGTATTATTTGTTGACCACAGTATATTATTTTTGATCCATGATTTTTTATTCTTATTTTGAGAGATTTTGCATGTTAACAATAATTATATGTATCGTATGCTGTTTTATGATTTTATTTTTCTTTATTTTTATTAGTGTTCCTTGTTGATTCTTATAAGTTTAAGAAAATATTTTTTTGTTAATTATTATTTTCCTGTATTTGTGTTATTGTGTTAACATTCTCTCGTAAGAAGATTTTAGAATAATAAAAATTAGATTTATATACCAGACAAGAAATTAGCAAAAAAAGAAAGATACAATATTTTTAAATTATAATAAATTAATGAATAAAATATAACAAGTTACGTACCTACTATTATAATAAAAAGATTCAAAGGTTGCTTGATTTTATAGATTTTTTATTTCCCTTTGTTCAAGTAAATAAAAAGAAAATTAATTATTTTTCTTTCTTTCTTCGTATCAAAAACAATTTTTGTTTGTTTTTCTTTGGCCATCAAAACAAAGTCAGCACGCAGAAAAGAAAAAAATTAGATTATCTTTTGTTTTTGGTGGATAAACTTAGACTATCTTGTAAAAGAAGATAACGGAAGACAGTCAAAACTTTCGATTACAGAAGAAAAAGAACAAATGAGACAAATATTAGGCTTTTTTTATTTAAATAATGTAAATTAAAAAACTAATTCTTAAAGTATAGATTTTTTTCAAACTAATTCTCTGTATAAGGTGGATTTGTCACGTCGGCTATAAATTTTGTCAAAATAGTTGGCAAAAATATAATAAATAATTTTTTTAAAATAGGTTTCACCACAAGACATGGTGAAAATACTTTTTTTTTTTTTTATTTTTAAATAGGTTTCGCCAAAGAAAAGGCAAAAATATAATTCGCATTTCTGATGGCGAAAATATCTGAGAATTTTGCCATGTGCAGGGCGAAACACGTTGTTTCATCAATGAAGTGGCGAAACTTGCATCAACTTTCGCCACTTGGAAGGCAAAACTTGCATCACTTTCGCCACTTGGAAGGCAAAACTTGCTCACATATATTGCCACTTTCGCTTCTACTTGGGTTCGATTGGTACATTCATTTTTACTTGGGTTGAGCCTTTCGTTGAGCAGTTGAGCAACCAAACCTTATCAATATTTGCACCCTTCTCTTATATGTATATCCCACTTTCATACCGCAAGTTCTTTGTCGACTAACACATTTGAAAGAAAATAGGTTAGATTTTTTTTTTTTTCATTTTATGTAAATTTATGAATGTAGTTATTGTTTATTTTATTTTAATTAAATAAATTGATTAATATAGAAGTAATATTATTTGATTGATATTAATGTTAAAAAAATTAGATATTAATTAAATTTTATTTGTAAAAATGCAGGATGAGTGGACATATTATAATGATATATTGGAATGGTAAAATCTATAAAGGGAATGAAAGTGCGAGTTTTGAAGGAAGAAAGAAAATGATTCAGATAAAGTGAGGAATAAGTTTTGAAGTCTTAAAAAGAAAAATTCATTTGAAACTTAATCTTGATCGTAATGAAGTTATTTTTAGATTAATTTCACGTTTTTTGATTGATAGAAATAATAGACAGTATATAACTTTGAATATTTGTGATGATGAAGATATTGATTATATGATAAGTGCATTTCAACAACAATCTGGTAGAAATGTTATAGAGTTGTATGTGGATATTGCTATTGGTGAGAGTTCATCAGTGCCGTCGCAGATGATGAATTTAAATTTATCACTTTCACAGCAAAATAATGATTACAATGAAGGTAATATGAATTACTTTATAATATATTTTATTAATATATGTATTTGTTAGATAATAATTTATATATTTGTTGCAATAAATAAAGGAATTAGGATTGAAGTTGATGAAGACTCAGATTATGATAGTTATAATGATGAAAGTGATGAAGGAGTAGTTTCACTAGACAGTTCTTCTTCTACTGATCAAGGGGAGTTTGATTCCAACTTAAATATACAAGAAAACAGATTAGGTGGAGGTAATATGGACTATTGTTTAAATTTTTTTGTTTTCCATTAAATATGTTGATAATAATATGACAAATTTTTGCAAATTATGATGCAAGAGATACTATAATTCTTTTTTGGAATACAACTCCACAATATAAGTATATTAATTGGGAACATCCTGATGAAAAGATGTCTGAAGAAAACTCTCAAGATGTAAATTCATGGGTTGAAGGAGATCCCTTAGTCGTTGGCTTGTTATTTGATGGTAAAGAAGATGTGAAAAATGCATTGAAACATTACGCAATGAAGATTCATCAAAGTTATTTTGTGGTTGAGTCTAAACCAACATGTTTGTATGTGAAATGCTTGAACCATACCTCTGGTTGTCCATGGAGAGTGAGGGCTTCATTGCTGAAGAATTCAACCAAGTGAAAAATTACTAGATGGGGGGGGTTCACATACATGTGTCAATCTTAGAATGTCTCAAGATCATCAAAAGTTAGATTCAGACTTGATATGTTCATGCATTGTTGGTAAGACATATTTTCTATATGTTCATAATATTATGTTTTAATATCTATATACAATTTGAATTGTTTTTAAGTAAATCAAATTAATTTGATGTAGGAATGGTGAACGAAGAACCGTCGGTACATATTTCATTAATACAAGAGCGAATAAGTGCACAGTTTGGATACAAAATTTCATATAAAAAAACTTGGAAGGCGAAGCAA